TAACAAATGTAACACTAAACTTATACCCACATACGTACTCCAATCCTTATCCTTATAGGGCAAATATATGGAGGAGTTTCATTTTAATAAATTGAATAAAAGTGCAAAACAGGAAGCAGCAGCTTTGTTACACACACAAACATCCTCTTTGGCTGCTTGGTTGGGTTAGCATACGTTCTGCTTAAACATCACTGTGGGATTTCTTCTTCCTAGCTTTGCGTTAGTGATTCTGCCCGTAATGATTGTGCAGGTGTGCTGTCTTTGCTGTGCTTGTAGAGGATTGATGGTGTTTTTGCTGCAGTGGATTCATGTTTTTGGACTATCTAGAGCAGATGTGTCAGACTCATATCGTGGATCACATACAGCCCATTTTGATCATTAGTGGGTGAGACGCTCCTTTCTGTCAGTGTAAAGAAATTTCATATTTCACTGTTTTTCTGCATGTTTTTGTAGCAAAGTAAACATGTTCTACATGTTCTACATGTTTATTGCATACTTGCTGTCACATAATGGTCTTTGCATGTGAATGCCTGCATGGTGTGCCCATTAAAATAGTCCCAGCCCTGCCTACATGGGCTGATGATTTGATTTCCACGTACCGAAGGGCCGTTAATAACTGACCAATGAAATGATCTCACGGGCCGGATGTTTGACGCCTTTGCACAATAGTGTGCTGTTTACCATCATCAGGAGTAATGTGCATTTAATCCACCTCAAAAGTTACACATTGAGCTGCTGTTTTTCATCTCCCACATGAAGTGTGGTAAGCTGCCAAGCTACAGGCAAGCTACACAACTGCACATAAAAATGTGCTGGATCATTGTTTTCTATCCACTCCTTATGCAAATCATTGATGATGCAAGTAATAGATTCATTAATTTTAGGATTTTACTTTGGTAAGAATTTGCAAAACAAACACTTTTCCTCTTTCCATTTGCTCAGATGTGCACTGGCTGTGTTGGATTTTGCAAAATTTGCACTGTTTTATTATATTTGTGCTTGTAAATAAGTTTTCAACAATGATAAACCCAAAGGTTTAAAAAGATTATAACCAACTATAATTATTGAAGTGGTCATCCATCATGGTTGGGCTGGAACTTATTCAGGCTTTCATAAGACAAGAGACAGACTACACCCTGAACAGGACACGTCACCAACCTATCTCAGTGCTAACATAAAGAGACAGATAACCATTCGTAGCTACAGCCACGTTAGAGTCACCAGTTAACTTCATTTGCACGTCTTTGGACTGTGAGAGGAAGCCAGAGAAAACCCGTGCAGACTGCACACAGAATGGCCCCAGAAAGCTGATGGATTCAAACCCGGGACCTTGCCGATTTTAGGCAATGTCGCTAACCACCACAGCACTGTGCTTTAGATGTGTGGCTTTCATTCTGCAGCCGTCTTGGGTCTCATCATCATCTTGGCTACTTTTTCTTGGCTCGACAGCACATGAACTAAAGGAACCGTTTCATGGTTCACCATGAGGGCTGACAGGACTCTGGTTGTTGGTTTCTGCATGCTAACGGCTAACTAGCAGTTGCATCTTTACTGTAATGATATGGAAGAAATGACCAACAGCGTCTTTTTTGTTCTGGAGCAGCACATCTTAAGAATTCATGTCTAAATAAAGGCGACAACTTCTCTGCTGCATCCTCAACAGCATGAACGTGTTCCTCAGATGGCGTGCTGAAACCAACAGCCAATGAGGTCGTCCCTGCACCAGTGACCATCGAAGCCAGTTTGTAAAACTCATGACCGACAGCCTTCTGGTTCTTTCTCTCAATATTTGCAAATTCCCCTAAAACTCAAACATTACATAGAGAACTGGACTATAATGACATCATTGATTAGTATCTGTAATGTGGTTACAGCAAATAAAACGATGCTGTTTTTATAGTTTTATTGTTTTATTTGCTGTTTGATTTACTGTCATATTGTTTTATATTTCCATTTCCTGTGCTGTAAAGCACTTTGTGATTTTTTTAATCTGTAAATTTTACTTACTTACTAAACTGAGAACATCACAAGTGTCTACAGTATTGCCATGTGCATACTGAGTAGATTTGAGCATTTTAGACTGTTTGTATTGGCAGCAAAAGATGATTTATGTTGCATTAAAACCATTCTTGAAACTTGCAT